GTATACTATATCTACGAGACTATATCTAAAATTAAGCTTATATATCTAAGCTTAACGTCTTAGCCGATATAAAAATGTACAACAATAGTATATAATATTATGTTTGTAATGTACTTAAAGGTCCTGAAAAAAAAACCCTGTTAGATTATATACCCGTAACTTCGGTGTAGGTCTATGTAATATGTTTAACATCGCAAACCGTATATCCGTACATAATTTAAGTGCACAGGTACCCCCGGCATAAATTATTAGAACTCACGTCCATCGTAATAATATCGACCAGACGACTCGCGGACGGCCTGGGTATTACGATGAAAAAAAAAAAAAAAATATATATAAATAACGGAGGACCTTTGCAATGCGAACTTGGTGTAAAAACTGTACCGTAACATAACGTCATTATTGTACACAATAATATGATATAGAGAATATAGGTAGGTACAGATATGAAATATATTTAACACCATCACGTGCGGGCGGTAGAGAAATATAAGATTTTCCTCTTTTTTTTCTCCAGTCGTAGTGTTGAATGAACATCGAATTGGTTTTACAATGATTATAATTTTACTATAGATTCATTGTGTGCAGGTACATTATTTTTTTTTCCTAGCAAAATATGTTATCATTTTTTTTTGGGTTAGAAAGAACAGCGGTCCAAAAGTTGTTTCTTGTTGTTCGATCAAATGGTAAAAAATCATACACGTTGGTTACGGAACTCAAGAGCTGATGTAATACTATTGGAATTTTCCATTGGTTTCCTAGAAAATTTCCAAAAACTTGTTATCCGAATACGGCTGAACATACGAAATAAGTTTAGCTGGTTATTTTGTTACGACTCGAAATACTGTAATAATAAAGGTGATAAATAACATTCCCGACGATTATACGTTCTTATTTAACTTGGGTACTTTTGTTCAGTATGTCCCTGGCGCTACTTATACAAGGTAATTTTAAAATAAACGATGGTTGTTATCGTAATGAAGATTCTTCGAAAATGGTTTGTTACTGCTGCATTATAATGTAATATAATAACTTATACTAACAATAATAATCACGATGAGTCAACATTATGATTTTGATAATACAAGTGGTTTTATTTATAATGTTAATATGTATAGAATTATAATTAATAATAAGGTATGGGAAAGCGGGGCTTGTTGACTACCTTAAGGTTTCAATAATAATTATCCTGCTCCAGCAATCGGAGGTAGATTATCATGATTTTGTTTACAGACAATATTCAGTACACCTACTATAAGATTAAAAGGTATTTTATTGGTTTTTTAAGGTTTCATAATTAACAGTATTTTACGTTTTAAAACAAGTTTATTTAGGACTGTAAATTTCGTAATTTCTAGGTTGAGGGAATAAATGACATTTTAATGGGGTACTATTGAATTACTATTTAAGATCTGTTGAATAACATTTTGTAGATCACAACAAAACTTTTTGAAATAATTTACTTTTTTAAACTTATTATTTTAGAGAAGTGTAGACACCAAATTGTTTACAGTTTAAAAATTATAATTTATTGCAATTCAATAATCAAACGATGTATGATAACACAAGCAAATCTGTTATTAGATATTAATTATTTTTTATTGATATAATTTATAATATTAAGTTAACATTAATACTTATTTAACAATGCTTTAATACATTTTTAAAATCAAATTAGTCAACTTGTCCCTCTATCCTTGTCTCCTGCCTACTTTATATTAGTTGCAGACTTCAGTGTTCAACTCACTCCTTAGTTCCATAATTATAGTTCTTTAAACCATTTAAAAATATGTTTTTTTGCTAACTTCTCCTTTAGTTTATATTAGGTATATTTAAATTCATACAATACTACTACTATAATATCTCCGAGATGTCATTTTAATGTATTATTGCTTTTCTATTGAAATGTGTAACATTTCCCGACGAAGCTAATTATTAGATTATGTCGAGTTTAAGCATATCAAGTTTTCTATAGTATAATAGAACCCTTTTAGTTTTTTTCTATCAATATTTTCTTTATTAGATATTGTATGACAAATAATAATCATTAGATATCAATTGTATCTTTTTTCTTGAATTGAATGACGAATGTATGCACGAACAATGAATACTAAATAAAATACTGTAGAACTACTATTGTATGCATAATAATATATGTTGATACATTAAACAAAATGTATAGTAAAACGAAATACAAATGTTGTCCAAGGACCATATTATAAGATCCAATAGACGATGGATTCCATCTAGTTTTTAGAAAGAAAATTGTATAATTGTTGTAATAAATTATTGTAGGATAAATTGTATAACAAATAACGAATATATTATCTACACGCCCCATAGGTATAGGCAACACCTATCAATATTAAAATACCAGAATACGATATAATTATTAATATAATTAATATAATTCACTCCAATATAATCGTAATTTATTTCACATATAATACACCTATACTAGACTATACAATGTATTGTAACAACAATATATGTAGGTATAGTGACTGTATTGTTACCTCCTTATTATTTATATAATATTACTTCGACCAATCGTATGTATACACCCCTCTGGTAATGTCCAATAGTAATGGTATTCATAAATTATAAGATATATAAGCAAAGGTACCATTATCTAGTTATATAGTTATTTTTTTTAAAAACTATATTTGGCCGGTTTTCCAATTAGGTACCCAACATAATAACTTACTAGTTGAGTTACTGCTGAAATAATATATCTTTTTTTTATGTTGATTTATAATTTTTTTTTTCGTTGGGTACCTATTTGGCAGAATTTCTATTTGGGCACGCGTAGGTTTCTGCCATACCTGGTTGGGGGATGGCCGTCTCGCCGTCTAGACAGTTGCCTGCCCAGAGAGCGATTTATAAATAATCCATAAATTCAAAAATAAAACATGCTTTTTTTCTTTTTATTTTATAATGGTGTTACACACTAACCAAAATGTATATAGCTACAAGGTTTTATATTTATTTAAATGAAACTAATATTATATTATTAGTAATAATAATATAATTTTTGTTATGTATCTTAATAAAATCTATATATTATATATAAAAGACGAACAATGCTTAAACTATGTCCTTTATGCATTCTTAAACAGTTCATTCGATTGAGCTGAAATTTGGCACGGAGATGGATAGATATCGGGGAAGGAGATAGGCTATATTTTGTCGTGAAAAGAGTAAATAAGAGGTCCAACCCGGGGAGGTTCTCAAACAAGGGATTTAAACAGGTTTTGGTGAACAATTTTTAGGCATTGTTTTTACGCTGTTTTTTTGGGAATTTTTTTTATAAACGGTTGCAATAATTTTTAATTTGTTTATTTTTCTTATCTATAAACATAGATTTATATTAACAATCAGATTTTAGTACAATAAAATTCAGTTAATTTAGAATTTTGTATTAATTGATTGTATAAATTTGATAGGTACTTTAGAATTAAATAATCATACACTTACGTACGCACCACGTGAGGTCCACCCTAGGTAGATTGCCTACCTGATAATATACTGATTGCATAATCACAAAATCCTAGCATTAGCAACACATTAGTTAGTATTAAATATATAAAGGCACAAAATATACTTTATGTAATCTACACGCAACTAAAACAGTAGATTAACTTTTAAAAATTAAGTTAAAATTATATTTTTTTTAGAATATAACAATTTTGAACTTTTGCCAGTTAAATGTATTATTTGTTAACTATTAACTTCTAGTTTAACGATTTTAAGTGTACTTATTCAAATAACCTTCTTCGAGTTAATTATATTCATTAACTTTCCTGCCTTTGGACGTAAGTACTATATAGGTATAATAATAATATTATATAGTTAAGCGAAATTTCCCGGCTGTGCGAATAGTTGGATACACCCCTCAATTCTTATAATTTCACAGTTGCCGTTTTCTCTCCAGTTTACACCGAAGTTGGGTGTGCGGGTTTTGTGATTCCAAAAATCAACAAATCACACAACTGTATTGGAATCCGATGGGCAGGAATGCGCACGTACGCGAAAAACACGTATTTGTCCTCATTAATGATTTCTCGTGCTTTGGGTAACATGAGGCAAAACTTTGAGGCGGTCAATTATTCGTTTTCGACAGTAATGACACGAGTAACGGAACCTGCAGTGGCGCAGTAAATTTTTACGTTTGTTTTTACGACCGACAACAACGAAAAACACACACACACACACACACACACACACACACACACACACACACACACGCACAGTGCACACTAAACCAAACCAAATAAAGAAACAATACAAAAGGCGTACGGGCCACGACTTTTACGCCGCAAGGTCGTGTGCGATAAAATAATAAAAACCACCTTTTTCGACCCTCTTCGGTTGTATAGAGGTGGGTGGAGAAGGATTTATGGTCCTGTAAAACAACCAAGTAACGACTCAATCGGCAGAGGCGGCGGCGGCGGCGTTAGTGGCGACGATGCGATCGATAAATCCGTTAAGAATTACTCACACACGCACACACACACACACTCACATTTACACGACGTGCAAAAACTCACATACACGCGAGATGTTATTGTTGTAATAATATGTTTTAATATCGAAGTCGTTTAAGGCCGGGGCGCACGTGTAGTCCTAGCAGTAGTGGGTGGAATGCGCGGGTGCTGCAGATGCGTTGATAATAATGAAACGGAACGGAAAACGCCGTGTGACGCCGCCCGAGTAATCTAATCTCGTTAACAGAACCGAGCTTACCTAATTGCCCCTCCGCCGCCCGGCACCGCCTACCGCGTTTTCTCCCCTATAATTTTACGAGCGCACAACCCGATATCGGTGCCGTCTCAAAGCTAGCATTATAATATGCTATCATATGATAATACATATTCGTATATAATATAATATGGTGCTACGAATAATAACGATGTTGATGTTCACTCTCGCGTTTTGCTCTTCGTTGTATATGGGTACGTACCAGCTACCGGAGAAGGTAGAGAAGCGATGTTCATATCATGACGAATGCAGCAGTGTCGATAAAAACCGTCGACAGTCGCGATCGTATTTATGTTAAGACGACAAGCTTGTGTGACGGATGGAAAATATTACTCTCTTGTAGACCATCTGCATCAAGACGTCGCTTCGTCAAGGAGGATCTTTGGATTTTGATTTGTTTGAAACCCACTGAAATGACAAACGTTCGAATGGGTTTCCACTTTTCCGTATGGGTAACACGAATAATAACGATATTGATGCTCACTCTCGCGTGCGTGTTATACGCACCAGCTATCGAAGAATGCAGATGAGTGATGTTAATATTATGACGAGTGCAGGCAGTGTCGATAAAAACCGTCCACATCCGCGATCGTATTTATGTTAAGATGACAAACTTGTGTGACGGATGGAAAATATGTTTAACTCTATTGAGGACCATCACGAGGCAGGTCGATCTGCAGGCAAGGAGGATCTTAGGATTTTGATTTGTTTGATATCCGTCGAAATGTCAAACGTCCGACACTCCGAATGGATTTCCCGTATAGTAAGAAACATATTATATTGAATGTAAACGCCTTGAATATAGTATACCTAAACGGTTTCAGGTTAATGCAATAAAAACAACACACCACTACTGTCAGCGAAACGAGTGCCAAACTATATAGGTACAGGTCTCTCTATGTTTCCCGTTTCGTGTGTCCACATTTTTTTACGTCCATAATCGCAGATAAAGCCTTGCTGTAAACTTCATAGGAGCGAGCTACATAGTTTAGGGATCTAAGTGCCAGACAATTTCGGAAAATCAAAAAAAATTAGGTGGATACGCTTAAAATAACATCAATATAAAATTCAGAGTTTAAAAAATAGAGAATTATTTGAGGATAAATGATTGAATATTATGACATTGTAATTTTGTATCAACACGAAGCTCAGATTCTTTAAATTGATGTACTAATAGCTTCAAAACTAAAGTAAAGTGTTGTTTTATGATTGAATATATTTTGCACTATCGGTTTTCCTTTCAAAATAAAATACCCCATCTAGAAGAATGAAATTTAAAAAAATATATATATTTTCCAAATAACCTTTTTTGGGGGCATTTTTCAATTTGCCAGGAAAACCACTGTTTTACCCGATTTTTTTTGCGGAATCGTTGATCCCTACCCCCATTACATATGGGAACAATATAATGCAGTATACCCTTTGGAACGACGACGACGGCGAAAATGTGTACTTCACCCGTCTATCGAAAGTTTTTCCGGTATTCCCGATTCGTATATATTACTATATATTATAATATGTTGGAGCTACTCGTGCTGTAATATATACATATACCTAGGTACACAATATATATATATATTGAGTCCGATCGATGTCACGCGCCGATCCGCCATTTCGGATGAGAATAAAAACTGAACCCCATGATCGTTGGAAAAAAATAAACTGTTCTTTTCGAAATCGATTTTGAAAATTAAAGGGCATACGTGACCGCGTATACCACCCCGACCGAGCGCAACCACCCCACACTCCCCTATGTCTATAGTCTCGCTCTGTTTCAATTTATACATAATGATAATATTTTATACGATTTTTAAATCATCAAATAACATGACAATATTACAATATCCGTCTTTACGACGGAAAGTCAAATGGACATCCACATATTATGCATATTATTACTATAAATCAATATACTATAATGTTTAATTTATCGGCGCTCAGACGTCAGATGCATGATTAATTTATTCTATTTATGTCACACAATTATTTGTATAATATCAAATGTACCTAATATGGATTCAAACATAGCAAGTGACGTATTTATTGTTTGTGTTGCGTACAATTTATTTGATGGCCGCTTTGGAGTTTGGATCAATGGGAGAGGATTGTAAATTGTATTTATGTTCTCTATAACCATACACCTCTAAAGAGTTTTGTTTCATTTACATATATTTTAGAGAGTATTTCATAAGAAAACAATAACTATCCGTTTTTCCCAATTATAAAATATACCATATTTGAAAGTACATATTATTCTAGTTTTTTTTTTTTTTTATCTATTAGCTCCCATTTCATAAAAATTATTCAACCCAGATAGTCTGTAGCTTATATTATTATTATTTTGGTCATATAAAAGTTTATTTCCATACTCTTTAATTTTGTCTATAATTAGCAAAAACTATAAATGAGGGTGTGAAACTCATTCTAAAGGGTTTAAATTTTAATGTTAAAAAGTTTAAATTATTCGGAGATCGGAGTTGGTTTTTTCGTTTGATAAAAAGCGAACATTAAATCTCTTTTTCCTTCTCATCAGTGTCATATTTTACTTTCTAAACTTGAAAACTCAAGCGCCTTATCTTATATTCTTACACATAATGATAAATTTAAATAAGACAGTTGTCGTAGATGATTAGAATGTTGATGCCTTTCATGTACACAAAAAAAAAATAAAATGATCTGTTCCAGTTTTTTTTATATTTTATATTATAGTCAGCACAAATTGTACATAATAGATACATATTATATTATATACATAATATATTGGTCAAAAGTCAGTAAGATTTTTCTGGGACAAACCAATTACTTTTTTTTACTAACGGTGACATTAGAAATAATATATAATATTTTATTCAAACACAAAATTGTTTAAATGATGATTAAAACAACGAGCTATGCAAAGGAAAACTAATTATTAATGTTGACCATTGTAATTTCATGTTTGTGTGTGCAGGTACTAAACAAACGAAGCTCGTATTACTTTATTAATATTATTATTTTTTTTAAATTTACATAACTTATAAAATGTAAACAATTTTAGATAAGTTAGTTATGACATAATATTATTTTAGTCGAAATCAATGGCTTCATACACGGACATCGACTTAAATCCAGCGTAATGGTTGGTTAGTCATTACAACTGATATATTGTCTTTATATACATTTTATATATTCACAACGTTATATTTTTAACAAGTATTTTTTTAATTAAGCAATTTAACCGGTGCTGAGATGGAATCAATAATAAGGGAAAAAATAAATAATCATTAAATCGTTTTATTCAAATGTATATAATTAAACAATCAAAGCCGATTGATAATTCGACGGCCGTAGTAGGTTTGAAAATCTTGCACAGGAAAAATATAAAAATCACGGGTACTCGCCAGAGGAGCTCAACAATAACAATTAATTTCGTATAATAATTACTGGCAATTCATTTGGTTGATTTATATTCAATAGCGTTCCAATTATAATCTTAAATTTGAAAGGAAATGATAAAAACTCGTTGTTAACAAATAACAACCTATATAATATTTATTTTGACATATTTATTCTTGGTGCAAATAAAAGACATTAAAACGGTGAAATGAGGAATAATATAATAGAACTGTGTATTTATATATCCCATAATATGCATATGGGTCTCAAACTCTCAACTACATGTTCCATCACCGTTGTAGTTTTAGGTAGGTACATTATTATAATATAGAGGTGTACAGTGTAGTTGGTGACTTTGTGTGTATTTGGAACTTTTGTAGACAATTTTTTTGTCAACCTTGCCGGTCGGATTTGTATAATTAGAACGTCTTTGGAATTTGAATATAAATTACGTAAATTAAATCTTCTGTATTACAACAATACAATAATAATATGACCTAAAACTATTATAATATTATCTTTGTCAGATTATAAAGACTTTTCGTTTCGAAAAGCTATTATAGTTATATTATTGTGGAAACGTGCTGGCGACAATTTATTGTGTCTTGATAGCGGCGCCATTCACTCAAAATTTGAGTTAGACTTTCAGATTGTTTGCATACACAAAGGCACTGGACATGCACGGGTGACGTACCCGTTCGGAAATTGTCTACAAATAGCATACAATTTAAATAAACGCAGGATACGTGATCCGGCAATGAATGCCATGATATCCAGGGACCCTGATGATTTCAATCGTTTAAAATCAATTTCAAAATGTCGGGAACCCCGGTGCCACATATAACCTGCAGTGCACTACAGTGGTATTAGTAGACAGTGTTATACATATTTCCAATGATAATTTACATATAGTTTTGGTACAGAAACGACAGAAGGCGTATAGCACAGCGAATACCAAACAAGGGGTTTTAAAAAATTATATATATTTGATTGTAGCTCGCGAGTATTAGTTGTTATACATAAACATAGTATAAAATACAAGGTGATTAAGCACGATGACCCACATTTATCATTTAATTATGCAGGAGGTACTCAGACTTTTTATTAATTTTTTTTTTTTTTAAATGAGAAATTCTTTTTCCTGTGAATTGTTAATTAAAAATCGAACGAGTAGTTTTGTGTTACTTTACTTTATGCGTATACTAAATGGATAATAGTTTTTAATGCATTTACATAAAATATAAAATAGGTATAATATTTTTTCTAGCACTTACTACAGTTGTCAGGAGTCAGACAACTTTTTTTATTAAATATGAAAAGTTAATATTATACCTATTTAATAATATAAAACTATACTTTGAAATCCTCATTTCATATATTAAACATATTATCATATAGACAATTTATCATCATAATGCTTATCACAGGCTGCTATCAAAAATATGATTTTCATATAAAATTTAAAAATCTAAATACCAGAACTTGAATAAATGCACAAAAAAAATAATTGTGAGAATGTTTAGTACCTATAGGCTATATTATACTACTCAGTAGAATATATCTATACAGAAATTTAATACAGCATTGGGACGATGAGAGATTTCAGTCACATCGAATGAAGATGCTTCCCTGAAATTCGATTGTATTCATATATTTTTTGGACGGACTACACTCTAGAGAGTGAACATCGTTCTAAGTTTAAATCTTCCTGGTGGGAAATATATGACGATCGTAACAGCGAATATCCGCTGTGTTCGTCAAGTGTCCGTCGGCTGTTTTTGTAAAAGTCGGTGTGTTGTCGCAGCCCGGTCAACCTCCATCTACCCTGAGCCAGCTGCGAGCGCGGGCAATACCTGACAGCCACATCTGCGCCTTCGAGTCGCACGGCTGCCACAGTCAGGTTGACACCACACATTTTGACTACAGTGGTTATGGCACGGGCGTCTACAACACTCGGTTTGTTTGTGCAACCAGGGGAACGACACAGAACAGTTAGCTCAGACGGCTAGAACGAACGGAAAGCCAAGATGGCGTTATTGAAGACGACGGCTCGCCGATTCGCGAAAGTAACAAAAAAATTGCGATTTTTTCCAAGTCGGCTGAGAAAAGGTGACAGAACCGGAGACTGAAGGCACTGCGACAGTCTTGCATGCGGCGGGGAAGAGACCGTCGGCGGAACACCGATAACGCTTCCCTCTAAAGAGATATCGGAACGGTCGCGCGGTGTTTGTGGTAATGACGATAACGTACCGAACAATATTAGTGTATCAATGTGTATCTTACGTGATAAGGAGGTGAGTGATTTTTATGAAAATAACTTTTAAGCTGAAGCCTATGTTTTCAGTTTGTCATATATTATGATCGTGGAATACACATTGATGTGCAACTTCGTCTTTATAACTACCAGGACACGTTTCAACAGTAATATAACATTAAACTGTACATATTAATTTATAAATATTAAACACTAACTTATCAACGAATTATTTGGCTAAGGATTTAAAAACTGAGGGTGTGAAGTACACTAAAGCTTCCCTTACCAAAATGATCCCTATAATGAGAAGAAGACCTTTGCAGAATGAATACGTGTCCTGGGACAGAATCGACGGTATTTTTATCCTATAATTTTGGAGACGTTTCTAACGACCGACCACGACGGTGATTCGTACATAACACGATATTATGTATCATATTACTTATTTAATTTAATATATTACCTTGGACTTAATATACTGTGTACCGGATTAAAATGAAGAAATATAAAATATTAATACCTAATTCTGTAATAAGTATACGCCACACGATCTGATATTACGACTTGCAAAAAAATATGGACCGTGGTATTGGGCTAACAATAAAAATAATAATACATATTGTAATACAATATAGACGTATAATACGATTAATCGTGTTGACGCGAGACAGGGATTCAGCGTATATGGCTACAGGCAAAACGGGTGTCTGCAGGTTAGGCCGGCATTGGGGATGGGAAGGGGTCGCTATATTTTTGATGGAATTAGGATTTTATAACAAACGGAATTTACGATTGACGGTTTTCGATTTCCGAATGGGATTAATTTCAGCTGTCCCGTCGTGCCGTGGGAATGGACGAGTACAACGTTATTATATATATATATATATATTGTTTCAAAAAGTAACATTTTACTCCCTTCCCTTGTATTTACTAATCTTTTTTTTTATTTATATTATTATTTTTTTGAATTCATTTGATTTTAATAATATTTTATCTTCTACATTGTTGCGTTCGTACGACACCATGGCCGCAATGTGGTATGAGTGGTTGGGCTCTTAATAAATAAAATAAAAGCCTTCGGCTAGTATATAATAACAGCAACATTGTTGACTGGACGAGGGATGTTTTACGAACATTTTTGTTTTTTTCTCTTACACCGTGAAACATGTTTTAGTTAAATTGAATTTTTATTATCTCGAAGTCTTTCCGGCAATGTTTTACTATTATTTTCTTTGGTCCCAGGACGCCACACACAAAAAAAAATTACAGGGTCTGGTTGTATTTTTTCTATATGTTCTACACTTATATGTTTTCGATAACATTTTATCCTTTGATTACAAGCTGCGGTTATCTTGGTATTTTATTTTTTTTTACCGAATTTTGAAGTTTTTCGTCTTCATATTCTTCTCCTTTTTTTTATTATTATTATTAAATCGAATTTTGGGCTAAGAATAATATTTGACAACTCAGTCGGATGCCACGACTTGTTTGTTATACGATACATGTTCGGGGAACTCATATCATTGGAAACAAAGGGAATCTGCGAAACGACGAAACGAAGTTCTCATAAAGTTAGTTTTAGAATAGGTATAGTATACGTTTCTAAACTTACGTCACAAAGGTCACATTGTAATCACAAACACATATTGTTGTCGTTCAGGACCAAAGCTCAATTGTTGGTTTTATGAGACAGTTTTAAACCACTGTCTTTGAAAAATCTATCTCCACGTATAACTCGTATTAGATAGCTCGGAATTTCGTTGTCCACTGAAATACTTTCGCAAATAAATCTCCTTAAACCATTTTGATACCGGAGGATCTTTCTCAAAGAACAATAATCCTTAGGCACTATGTAACTTATATTGCGAACAATTGTAAATAGTATAAGGAGTTCAGATACATATTATATATATATACACACATAAATAATGTTTTTTTTTACTGGTCAAAGTTCAAGTATTAATTGTATTATTTACTATTATTTCTAAATCGTATTTCATTCTGATAAGTACTTACACATAATTACGTCAATTCTCTCATAATAGTAAACGCTATAAGAAAATTGTATAGTAAGCCAGCAAAATCCTAGAAAATTGCATAGGTAAAATGAAAACTTACTACCTAAAATTATTTATAAGAAATTTACATTTAAAAATGTGTATCATAATAACTTTGACCAAAAAATATAATGTATCAACTAATTCTATTAATAATAATGCTGGGTTTTTGGTTATCCACTTATGCAATTCGCAGGTCTTATACAAAAAATATACATTAATATTTTGCTTGCACATAAACTAATGTTATCATATAAAATATATTACTTTAATTTATATAAATAGTTTAAATCTAATAAGTGATTTGACAAAATAAGTCTCATGTTTCAAATACCCACGTGCCAAATGGACTGCCCTTAATCGCATAAAAACTGGAAAGAGAAGGTGAAAAATATAATATGTTAGTAAAATACTTCGGATACGTCTGTGTAAATGAACCTCATTTTGTCGGGAATTGCAATTATTTGATAATTCAATTAGTCACCAAATATTTAGTAGTCCTGATCAAGTGTTCTAATTAACAATTAGTTAAATGTGTGAATAGGATTTGTCATAGTGGTGTCAATAACTACGTGGCGCTTCAGTGTATGACTGGGTTTTAGAGAATGTCAAAAAGAGTTAAGTTTAAATCTCAATTTGTGGGTTTAGTTATCAGACATATCATATGCAAGTCGGACATACCTACAACAGATTTAATATACGCCGTTGTGATCCAGGTATCATTTACGTTATGCTTAGTTTTATCGACAAGTTATCAGTAATTTCTAATGAATATTTGACCTGGTTGATTAATTTTATGCAATATTCAATGTGTATCGGCTTAAGTGCATATCAGTTCATAGAAAATCTGAATAGAATATTCGCCTGTGACAAATTTAAGTAGCGCTCGGTCTGTTTTGATTCATAGACATTTGGATTATATTGTGTACTTTGATTAAGTTTCAAATCAGTTTAAGTGTACCTCGATTATCTGTCAAATCTTTAGTCATAGTTAAAACAGTAAAATATAAAAGCATGCATTAAAATTTTGGATAATTTTTTTTATTGAACTTAAGCCCGGCGACTAAGGCCATTAGCTGTTGTAGGGGTTATGAACTATGGTAGGGGTAAGGTTGGTACGGTAGGTTGTTTTTTTTTGTTTTTACGATTGTTTTACGGTTTTTATGGTAGGTAGCAAACACTTGTACCTATATGTGGAAAGGTTTTTAACTACTATCGACCCGGGTGGTCACCCATCCGGGAGCTAGTAGCTGTGGCCGTTACTTACTCACAGTCGCATTCTGCGACTGGTAGCAGCCAACGCGCCACGCCAAGCCATTTTTGGGTAATTTATGTGTAATAATGTTTACATTTCATCGATCACAAATAAACTAATAGCATTTTAAGGTATGGTTTATATTGTATATGAATATAACCATATACTAATAATAGTATAACTAATAAACTCAAAAAATAATGGTATAAAACATAGGTATAAAAATAATTTAACTAGTATATAGATATGTCATGGTACATAATATTATGTATGTAAATAATACATATAGGTGCAAGTACTATTTACATATAATATACTTTAATTGTTATTAAGAAAAAAATACGCTTGTAAAGTAAAATTAAAACCAAACAAAATATTATGTGTCAAAAAAAATATTAAAACACACATAGATCGGATTCAATATTGTTATACGTTAAAGGGGGGGGGATTAGTATACACACGTATATTTATTAAAATAATTAAGATCGTCAGGAAATACAGTGGTGCGACGGTATTGCAGGGAAGTACCTAGCTGGGTGACAGGTTACCGGATGGCACGTGGTCAGCTGCAGACAGTATTGCCAACATTTCCAAGATAAAATAATACGGTTTTCATTGCTTCAGAAATTGTCACGCTACTTTCAACATCCTGTTGGCGCTCCCAGTGAAATAAAAAAAAACAATAATATAAAAGTTCGAAAGATAAGTCTCCGCGGCTGTTTGAGGACGTACAACAAAATTTAAATCACGACGGTAACAACGGGTAATACATTCAGGCGATTAACGACAATAATACTGCCTATCTGCCAAAGATTCCACGAAATCCGTCCTTTGCCAAACTACAATAATACGACATAAATGCGGCTTTGTAGTATCAGTTTAGTGTTTGTGTGTGTGCGAGTCTGTCCTTATATTATTTTGTCGTGCATATTGCATATAATATTATGTACATCAACCGATCGTACTTGATTTCAGTAATTTAATGGCTTGTTACCGTAGGGATATGCCAGTTTTACACACATATGCATACGACGGCAGACCATATAATAATAATATCAGATTTAATACCAGCTGTGGTGGATCGTACACTCGAGGATAACGTGCGCACATTGTATCGATCCGGCATTTGCCGATTTTGGATTTATCATTTACACCATACACGATTAAAAACGACCTACTGCTCAAAAAACGCAAACATAAGGGCTGTCCAGTTAATTAGTTTCAACACTGAACCTTTATGCGCGTGACGGCATGGCGGCTCCCTCGCGAGTTATTAACAACCCCTTGCTGTGAACCTTTTCACAGCGTGTATACGCCCCACAAACGCCTTCATTCGAGAAACAGTGCAC